CATCATCACCACCACCGTCATTGTCATTATCCTCACCATCTTCTCATCTCCACCACCATCATCACCATCACCACCATCCTCACCATCATGACCATCACCATCACTACCCCATCATCACCACTATCATCATCATCATCATCATCACCATCACCATCACTACCATTACCATCATCATCACAATCATCACCACCATCATCATCTTCATGCGTTAAGTTTTGCATGTTCCCATAAACACACATTCTATTTCAACCCTCTGGTGGAGTCTTTAGCCCAGTGATGTCTCTTCACATTAGAGCGGGTAGCAGGAATGGGTTGGGGCACCGGGGTTAGGCTGCCCAGGTTCATGTATTGGGTATTAGCTGTGTCCCCTGGACAGGTGGTTTGGCTTCCCTAGGCCTTGGTGTCCTTGTCCATACGGTGGGAATGATAACAGGATCCTAGTCCAGGTGCAGATGTTGACTTTCACAATTATGAGGTCAGGTGTGCACACCTGTGCCTTTCCTTATTTCTTCACTATAATCAAACTTCTTTCTTGAGATTCCATTTCCACTGAGTGTGGGGAGATCCAGTCTGCCTATTCTAAGGGACTCAGTCACATCTGGTTAAAGACTGTGGGCTTGGAGGGTCACTTTCCTCTGCATCCCGTCTCCTTCTCTTACCCACAGGAGTCTAAGTTCCTGCCAGAGCTTACGTGTCCTTCCAGCGTAAGTGGTGGGCACCTGGTCCGTGTGTCATTCTCTGTCGTCATTGTTTTTTTTTCCTAAATGTAGCTGCTGATGTATTTTAAAAATTGAGTTAACATTCACATAACACAAAATTAACCGCTTCAAAATGTTCAATTCAGTGGAATCTAGTATGTTCAGTGTTATGCAACTGTCACCTCTATCTAGTCCCAAAACATTATTGTCACCCCAAAGGAGACCCTTTCAGCAGTCACTCCTGATAGCCTCCTTTCTCCCCAGGCTCTGGCAACCACTAGTCTGCTTTCTGTCTCTGTGGATTTATTGATTCTGGATGTTTTATGTAAATGGAATCATGTGGTTGTTTGTGACCAGCTTTTGTCACTTAGCATAATGTTTCTTAGGCTCATCTGCATTGTAGCATGGGTCAGTACTTCATTCCTTTTTATGGCTGACTAATGGTCCATTGTGTGGATAAGCCACATTTTATGTATCTATTTGTTTGCTAATGTTTCCACCTTGGAGCTACTGTGGATAATGCTCCCATGAACATTCTTGTACAACTTTTTGTTTCAGTTCTTTTTCGGTATATTTCTATGAGTGAATTGCTGGCTTATGTGGTACTTCTACGTTTGACTTTTTGATGGACTGCTAAAATTTTCCATAGTAACTCAGTCATTTTACATTCCCATCAGCAATGTACGAGGGTTCCAATTTCTCTGTATCTCCTGAGGTCTTTATGCATGCTCTATTTTGTAGCCATTTCAAATCCACGTATCTGTGTTCAGTTGATTTCCTTAAGCCTTACTGGGTGTGTGAGCTCCTTGGGTTGCTGAGTGCAGTTTTACAGGTTGTGTATTGCACAATCCTAGGCACCATTCACATAATAATAAAGGGATATTTGTATATTATGTAAATACAATAATGTTTATATATTCTATAAAGTGGCGGCAAAGCGTCTTGGGGAATAAGGTATCTTTTTCAGATTTGCACAGGGGTGCCATGTGGGTGAGCCGTGGTGTCAGATTCCCTAGAGCCTCAGCCCCACCTCCACCCACTCCAGCTGGCCTGGAGCCTGCACCCTTAGCCACCACTTCATCTTGCCGTTCCAGCACTCCCATGACAATGATTGTCGTGTTGTGCTTCCCGCATATTTCCTTTAGCGCTTGGTTCATAGACCTGGTTAAAAGTTTGAGACAAGTTCCATCTTAATAGCCTTTGCTTAAAGAAGAAGTGCTTTTGAAATTTCATTAGTCTCTGTCTAATCGCCCTCAGGGCTGCAAGGGGAGAGCCAGACACAAATCCCTGGGGAACCAGCCCATTCTCGGGCATGATCTAATTGGACTGTCTCAGCAGCCCTGCAGGCAGGAAGGGACTTTTGTGTTTCCCTTTGCAGACCAGGAAGTGAGGCTCACAGGGTGAACTGGTTTGCTCAAAGCCTCCCAGTGAGGAATGCTGGTCCTAAGTAACATTTTCTGAGCGCCTGCTGTATGCTAGATGCTGTTGTAAGCCTCGGTCTCCCCTTCCCTTTTTCTGTGGTGAGTATCGTCTCCACCCTACCTGTGGGGAATGTTAGGGCACTGAGGAGGTAGGCCTGGGGTCCCAGTGCGGTGGAGCGGAGGGCCCTATTCTCGTAGTATCGGAGCTGGTGGATGGCTCTTGGGAGGGTGGGACGTGGAGACACCACGGAGAGCATCATTTTGGAGGCTAAGCGTGGTGTCCAATGTCATTCAAGTTCAAGCGTGGAGCCTGGGCTTGGTGCCCGTGTTGGAAGGACGGTGGCTGTTGATTCCACAAGCGTTTGATGGATGTCGCCGACACGGAGGGAAGGATGCATCTGGTCTGGCTGATGAACCGGGATTCTTATTGGTTCTGAATTTTGTGGCAACATTGTCCTTTTCTTTTTTCTTTTTTAAAACTCTTTATTCGTGGGGCGCCTGGGTGGCTCAGTCGGTTGAGTGTCTGACTCTGGCTCAGGTCATGACCTCCTGGTTCGTGGGTTCAAGCCCCGCGCTGGGCTCTGTGCTGACAGCTTGGAGCCTGCTTCAGATTCTGTGTCTCCCTCTCTCTCTGCCCCTCCCCTGCTCATGCTCTGTCTCTCTCTGTCTCAAAAATAAATAAAAACATTAAAAAAAAAATTAAAAAAAATTATTTATTTCAATTCAAGTTAGTCAACCTACAGCGTAGTGTTGGTTTCCAGAGTAGATTTCCATGATTCATCACTTACATACAACACCAGTGCTCATCCCACCAAGTGCCCTCCTCAATGCCTATCACCCATCTAGCCCATCCCCCACCCACCTCTCTCCATTAACCCTCAGTTTGTTCTCTGTCTTTGTGACTCTCTTCTGGTTTGCTTCCTTCTCTGTTTTTACTTTATTTTTCCTTTTTTATTACTGGAAGATTATACTCTGCAGCACTCTATGATCTGAGGCTTTTTACAGCAAATCCCTGCTCTTGGTTTCCAAGGGAGGGTGTGGGTGGGTATCTCTGAGGTCCGCTTACTGAGGCCAACTCAGAGCTACAGGGATTGCTCACACCGGCCCTCCCCTGGCCCTCGAAGCAGCCCGGAAGTTAGGGATTAGGCCTGGGGTGTGGGGTACAGGTGAGTCAGGGTTCCAGGCTCATGGTGCTTGCGTTCTTGTCTGGAGCAGGACAGTCAGGAAGGAGACAGAGCCGGTTTGGGAGTGATGGATGCCTGGTGGGAGCCAACAGGGCACAGCGATACAGATGACCGGGGTGCACACTTGCCTTGGATGGGAAAGGCGTCTCTGAGCAGACGGCACTTGCTAGAAAACTTCTGCCTCAGGAAGGAGCCAGCCATAGGACAGCCTGGAAGGGGAAGTCCCAGAAGAGGGAACAGAATGTGTAAAACACTGTGACATGGGGAAAGAGGCTTGACCTGTTAGCCCTGTTTCGCACATGAGGAAACTGAGGCTCAGAGAGGTGAGGCAGTGAGGTCCAAGCTCAGACTTAGGTTTTGTGTTTCCACATCTGGGGCATCTGTGTGACCTTAGCATGCCTTGCTAATGGTGCGACCTGCAGGTTTTAAGGCCCACATGCAGCCCTCCTATGGGCTGGGCCCACATGGTGGAGCCTGATAGGCATCCAGTTAACCAGACCACTCCGCAAAGGGCACCAGGAAGGGGGGGGACCTTCGGCTGCCACAGTGACTGGGAGGGGCCGCTGCGTTTACAGGCTGGGGCCACGAATGCACGGTGTCCCGCAGTTGGGGCAGCTCTGCAGTTGGGGACTGTCCCATCCACGACGGCAGGGTCCCGATGAGAGGCAGTGTGTTGGGGGTTTTACCCACAACGTCTGCCTCTGCAGCACACGTTTGCTGCACACTTGGAGGCTCAGAGCCTGCCCCGGGGTTTGCCAGCACCCTGGCCGAGAACTCTCCAGAGGGAGGGCAACCACGAGCCCTGTGGTCAGGCTCCGATTTCCCGTTTCTGGGAGGACTTCTCCTTTGCCGGGTCTGCTTGGGTTTCTCTTCCATGCTGTTAAGATTCCTCAGGCTCCATAATTATTACCTCACTCTAGGTTCGGGACTAAACTGGCTGAGCAGTAGAATTGCGGTCCTGCAGTTTCCAGCAAATGTGAATTTTCTTCATTTTGCGCAGGGAGAATGTCTCCCCCTTCCCTGGACTGGGGCAGAGTCACGGTCATACTGCTCTGAGCTGGAGTCACATGGGCTGGGGTACGTTTTCTTCCTCAGCACAGGGTCCAGGGTGGAGGGCCACAGAGCTCGAACACAGATCACTTTTCCCTTATTACTTAAAAAAAGTAATAATTTAATTAATAAATTAATAAAACATTAACATACGCTAAAGCGGGTTTCTTTCAGTTGTGTGGTTCCATGAATGTTAGCACCCGTGTAGCTTTTGTGTATCCATCAGGCCCGGAAGAGCCATGCCACTTCCAGCCTCCCTCACGCTGCCCCTTGTAGTCACCCCTTTCCTTACCGCTAGCCCCTCACGAGAACTTTGTCTCCTCCAGGCTCTTAGGCCGGTGGTGTCATAGAGGATGTGACCTTTAGAGCATGACTTCTTTCCCCTCAACGTCCTGTGTTGGAGATCAAATCAAGTTTGCTGTGTATATCAGCGGTTTATTCTTTTTCCTTTCTGAGTAGTATTCCTTATTTGGGTGGAGCGCATTTTAAAAAAAAAAAATTTAACGTTTATTGTTTTTGAGAGAGAGAGAGGGCGAGAGAGCGAGAGCGAGAGCAAGCATGAGCTGGGGAGGGGCAGAGAGAGGGAGACAGAGAGGGAGACAGAGCCCAAGCAGGCTCTGAGCTCTCAGCACAGAGCCCGATGCGGGGCTCGATCTCATGAACCGTGAGATCATGACCTGAGCCCCAAATCAAGAGTAGGCTATTCAACCTCCTGAGCCACCCAGGTGCCCCAGATGGAGCACATTCTGTTTGTCCATTCTGCAAGGAGCTGTTTCCGGTTTATGTTGATTATAGATAAACCATCTGTAAACATTTGTGTGTAACATTGTTATCTGCGTGAACACGTGCCTTTGTTTCTCTTGGGTAAAAGACAGGAGTGACGTTGCCAGTTCACATGGTGGGTGAATGTTCAAGTTGTTAAGAAACTGCCCAACTGTTTTCCAGAGTGGCTGCATCACTTCACACGCCCGCCGGTGACGGGCGAGAGCTCCCGCTTCCCCACACCCGCACCGGCACCGGGCACCGTCAGTGTGTCAGGCTTTAACCGTCCACTGAGTGTGCAGACGCGTCTCCCCCTGGTCCTGATTTGCGTGTTCCTAATGGCTAATGGTGCTGGACATATTATCAGGTGTTTATTTGTCATCCACGTACCCGCTGTGGTGAAGTGTCTGTTGAAGTCTTTTTGTTCATTTTTAATTGGGTTATTTGTTTTCTTCCCATTGAGTTAAAAAAAAAAAAAAACAACTCTGACCATTTGCAACAACATGGATGGGGTTAGAGAGTATGACGCTAAGTGAAATAAGTCAGGCAGAGAAAGACGAATACTCTATGATCTCACGAGGCCTGTGTGGGATTTATGAAACAAAACAAACGAGCAGCGGTGGAAAAAGAGAGAGACAAACCAAGAAGCAGACTCCTAATTCCAGAGAACACACCGATGGTCACCAGAGGGGAGGTGGGGTGGGGTGGGGGAAATAGGTGATGGGGATAAAGGAGGGCCCCTGTCCTGATGGGCACCGGGTTGTATGCAAGTGTGAAATCCTTATATTGTACCCCTGGAACTAATAATACTTTGTGTGTTAGCTAACTGGAAATTAAATAGGAACTTAAAAAAAATCTCTGAGTATAATTGACTTACAATGAATTGCATACATTTAAATCACACAATCTGATGTCTTGACATAATGCCTCATCTATGAAACTGTCCCCACCGTCAAAGAAAGTGACATCACATGATGTCACAGTCGTGTGACCAGGTCCTGCCTTCCTGCTGGGCATGGAAGCCTGCTTAAGATTCCCTCTCCCTGGGCCCTTCCCCTGCTCATGCTCACACGTTCTCTCTCTCTCAAAAGAAAAAGAAAATTAAAAAAAATAAAACAAAGACAATGACACCCGCGCCCTTGCCCTGGCTTCCCAGTGTCCTCTGCGATGCCTTGCACTCTGCCTTTACCCTGTTCTTAGGCAACTGCCGCCCTGCCTCTTGTCACATCTCGGGATGCACTTCCTACTTTCTGTTAATGGGCTCATTTCCTTCAACTGGTGTCCTTTGCTCAGCACGAGTATTTCAAGATCGGTGCGTGCCATAGCGTGTCTGGGTCATTGAGTGGTGATCCAGCGGGTGGGTTCTGATGCGTGGTTCCTCTGCTGACAAATGTTTGGGTCATTTTCAGCTGCGGGCTGTTACAAGCAGAGCCGCTCTTGGCGTTGTCTCTGCATGGACGTTTGTTTTCCTTTCTCTCAGGCCAATACCTAGGAGTGGTTGGACCATACAGTAAATTAATGTTTATATTTTTAAGAAACTGCCAAGCTGTGTCTCACAGAACGTGCGTCGGTGTCACTGTGACCCCCAGCAACCGTGCAGAGGGTTCCGGTTTCTCCACATCCTCACAATACTTGGTGTGGTCAAACTTTATGTTTTAGCCATGACGTGCATCGGAAAAGTTTTCTTTCTTTCTTTACAATTTGTATTGCCTTTTATTGCTTTGTCTTATTTGACCACACTGGCTGACATTTCCAGGATGACGTTTAGTACCAGTGTTGAGAGTAGACGTTTTTGCCTTATTTTCAGTTATAGGAGGAAAGGGTCCAGGCTTTCATAACTATGATGCTAACTGTAGGGTTTTGTTTTTTTTTTTTTTTTTTTTTAGATTCCTTTTTTTCAGATTAAGGAAGTTCCCTTGTATTTCTGGTTTGCAGAGAGTTTTTAAAATTTTTTATTATTTTCTTAAGTTTTTTATTTAAGTAATCTCTACACCCAGTGTGGGGCTCGAACTCACAACCCCAGGATCAAGAGTCCCATGCTGTTCTGACTGAGCCAGCCAGGAGCCCCAAGAGTTTTTTTATTTTTGTTTTTTAATTGGGAATAGGTATTGACTTTTGTCAAGTGATATGTTGTGTCGATTCATGTGATCACAGGGCATTTCTGCTTCAGACTCTTAATATGAGAGATTAGTTGATTTTTGAACACTGAATTGGCCTTGTGTTCCCAGGATAAACTCCGCAAGGCTGTGGTGTGTTGGCCCTTCTGTGTATTGATAGATACAATTTCCTAGCATTTTGTTAAGGATTTTCGTGTCTCTGGTGAAGGATATTGGTCTGTAGCTTTTTGTTTCTCCTTTTTAAATTTACACTGTCTTTGGTTTGGTATCAGGGTAATGCTGGCCTCATCAAATTAATTGGTAATTGTTTTCTGGAAGAAATGGTGTTGAAGAGTGCCACCTCTAAATGCCATGAAGAGTTCATCAGGGAGCCTTCTTTCTTGAAAGTCTCAAGCCATGAATGAAATTTTTAAAATAGTTATAAAACCATTCATGTTAAATATTTCCTCTTGGGTGAATTTTGGTAGT